GGAACAAGTAGTAGGGGTCACCCTCGACCAGTGGGATCAACTGTGATCTGCAGCATGGCAACGGTCCATCCACGTGCTGGATCAGTAAGTTCTCAGATTATTGCTGATAGAGGCTGAACTCTCTTTCCCCAAAATATGTTTGTGTCACCATTACAGGTGTGACTATCCTGTGGTACTAGTCTGATTGCTGATATTAGGAGCAGTTTAATCTGAAATCTGTTTGTTCTGTGTGTTTTATGTAATATCACAGTGTGCCCCCATTGAAATGGTCCAGCAGGTATTTGTCAATCATGGTGTTCAGCAAGGTGGAAGTGAACTTGAGAAGGCTGCTTGAGGCGGCCCCCCGCCAGCAGAATCAGGCTAAGCTTGTCCATGTAAGTGTAGCTCCTCTAATCTTCTTAGATTTGTATCATTCTTAATTTCTGTTCAACATCCGAGGAGACAATGTTCCGTAATTAACTTAAACGGACGAGAAGATATAATTTCCACGTGGATCCTTTTGTTGTTAAAATGAGTATAAGGAATTTTCTTTGATGAAATTTGCTTGCTTCATTCTGTGTTTGTTCAACTTTAACTGGTGGTAGCTAAGGATATCCGCACCTTAATCTTTATCATTTTGGCTGAATTATGTACTGGCACTGACAGCCTCCATTTGCAGTACATAACCACAGCCAGAGAGCTGTTGGAGCAGCTTGGAGCTGAAATTACACCAGAAGGAATATCAAGGTATGGTATAGTGTTGTGTGCTATCGGGGAATTAATATGTTGATGACGGTACAGCCTGCAAGCTGCAATCTGTGTTCCAGCTAGCATTTGTTGAGGATCCATAATTATAGAAAGAAATACAGCCGGTATATGACAAGATTTTAACCATCAACGTTGTAGTATTAAATTATAATGCACTCTTGCTCCTAGTTTGTGAATTTAGTGTGTCCTTCCAAGGTACCAGTGCTTAAATTGTGCGAATGCATCTGTATCAGTATCACCATCCATTTATATGTATTTCCTATTAAGGTAATGGATTAGTGGTTGTTAGTCATCGAATACAGTTTGCTGCCAGCTTGCTTTCATTGATCGTGTGTTTGAGCATTTCAACTTCTCTGTACTGTTATTATAGGAATGGGCCCAAAATTTGGTAGGAACTCATGACAAATGCCGCTATAACTTTTAGCTTACATATTTGAAGTTTCTCTGTGTACACTGACTGGCCTCCAGATGTACCATTCTTCTTCAGTATAAAAGGGCACATGCTCCTCCACTCAATAAAGGCACACAAATCTGGATACTCTTCTTCTTTTGGATTTATGGAAATCTGGATACTCTATCTGTAAAGATACTCTCCTTGCTTGACAAAAGAAATCTTAAATGAAGGTTCAAACTCAATTTTTCATGATTTTCTTCCATTTGATGGCCTGCATTTTGACGATGAGAATGTCTGGTATACTGCCTGCCTTTTCATCGGCGAGCTTAATGCTGATTGTCTTGTGTGGAGCAAAGCAAGTTATCTTTTTCTCTTTACGCGTGCATTCCCATGATCAGAACATGTTCATTCATTACTTTCTTCTTGATTCAGTGTTTCAAAAGCTAAGCTCAGTGAGTATTCAGAAAAGATTGAAGCACTAGCTTCCACACTTGCTTCTCTAGTGGTATGTGTTTATCATGTTGATTCATATTTATATTGATATGCTAAATACCTCTACATGTAATGGTGCATACCACCGTTGCTCATACAATTTAGTTTCTAGATGCTCTTTTTCATTACAGTACTATATTTTTCGATGCAGCCAGAAAACGAAAATCTGGTTGATGAGAGTAGCGAACAAGACAGCTCTTATGAAAGAGAAAAGGTTGGGAGCCCAATATCCTTATCATCAGGATTGCGGAGGAGATCGACGTAAGTGAAATTTGGTCCTTTTATATGTTGAGTTTCTTACGGTAACAACTATAACGAACTAATTGATGCAATTGAATAGGGCTCAGATGGAGGTTGGACCAAGCAGTCATCAGAGGAAAGAAACAGATACTGGAGCACCTATTAAATTGGATGCAGAAGCTCAGGCTCACATTGAGAAGCATAGGTATGTCCCCTTTTTTCTGCAAGTTTCTTTTGGACCTCAGTCTCTGGCTTAATGCCCTCATTATTCTTATCTACACGAGCAACCAGTTTCTTGCTCCATTCTTTGACTAGTCTCACTGATTTTGCTGCTGTGAAAAGCTGAAAGTCGTAATCAGCGCTATATTTTATTATTACCCGTTTCTTTTGATGTTTTAAGAACTAGGCATGGAAAGTTAGGGTCGTACAAGATGAACAACTAAATATACTGGCTACCCTCTTACTGTGTTGGATCTCCTAACTGCACAGGAAGCTGCAAGAAGATCTAACTGACGAAATGGTTGACTTAGCACGCCAGCTGAAGGAGAGTAGCCTTTTAATGAACCAGTCCGTGCAAGATACAGAGAAGGTAACCTTTTCTGTTGCCTCGGCATTGTTTCATCTTTGCGCCAAGTTACTTCAGTTCCCTTTCTGCTGGATGTTTACTGAGAATGCTCACCTGCTTTGTACTTGTGATGCAGATCCTCGATTCCACAGAGAGAGCCGTGGAGCATAGCCTGGCCAGCACCGGCCGTGCAACGGCGCGAGCCTCAGAGGTCTACTCTCTGGCCTCCAAGACAACCTGCTTCCAGTGGTTGCTCATCTTTTTAATGACGTGCATGTTTGTCATGGTGGTTCTCCTCATACGGATCACCTGACATCGCCATGGCGTGTCACCAGTGGCCGCTAAGATAGTACTGCAGTCTTGTAGACAGTCCTTGTACGAAGATAAACTTGAACCTGTGTTCCAGACGAGCATTGCTGCTCAACATCGTTATGCAGTTTGCTGAAGAAAGATGTCCCATTGGGAGAATGCCATCGGCTCACCGTGCACCCAGGTGCTGCTGCCCACTGTTAATTTTGGAAGTTCATGCTCATCTTCTGTTGAAAATGTGAACCTAGAAATTTGTGCGGCGACGGCGAGTGAAACCTCAGGCTCCTAGTCCTATAGGTCGCCCAGGGCCGGCTGCGGGCGCGCGTATTCATCCCGGTCCCGGTGACGGTGGGGCTTTGCCTGGTGAGTGGTGACAACTGTTGTAGTCAGCTCATGATCTGCTCCTGGCTTGCAGCAATTTCTGTAGCTTGCCAAGTGCTGGCTGCTGTATCAGTACTACCAGTTTACCACCTTGTGCTACTCCTTGCACGCGTGGTGTTTGATAGATTGCCTGTGACTAGCTGCCGCTAGTTGACAGGCAAAAAAAGCTGAAAAGATGGCACGGGAGATTGAGATCGCGATGGTTAATGACTTGGCGATCGGACGTCACTTCATTCTTATTGAGCCAAATAGCTCTACAAGCAGCTGCTGCTCCCACTACGATCTCAGCTGTCTAGCGACCATCCTTTTTTTTTGAGTGGCAAAGGGCAGCAGGAGAGCCTCGTACTATCTTGTACAGTATTTAAATATCTGTAACACATGTACAACAAGCCACCACCATCTCCCATCCCAGAGACAGGGGTGAGAGAGACAGGGGTTAGTGACCATCCTGGTCCAATTACCATGCATATCATCAATGTTAGCTCGTTTCTGAATACCCAATGCAATCCTCATAGCCAGCTCTCCACGCCGGACAAGCAAGTGAAACGAGGGATACCTGAATGGTCGATGCCAAAAATTTACTGAAAACTTGTGTGCATTTGTTGTTGTGGCTATTTTGACCAACACAAACCCTACAGAGAAATCCTTGAATTACTGAAATCAAGCAGTGCCTTCACGGTGTCACCCGTTTGAGGATTGAGACGCTATATACTATGTATCATCAGAAATTAATGTAACAGATAAATTGCAGTGTTGTTCTGCAAATGTCCTCTTTCTGCTGCCCGCTAATTTTAAGCCGGTGTTTCTTTTTTTGCGTGTAAAATTTTAAGCCGGTGTTGGTGCTACTATTTATTTTTGTTTGGCAGTGATTATGAAGTTGTTTATGGATCTAAGGAGCATGCCTCTGTTGACAAGGAGGTAAAGAAGTCACAGTTGACCAGACTCTTAACATGATCTATGTCTCTGTGTAACTTTCTCACTGTTCTTTGTTCATGGCATTTTTTGTCGAAGACTCTCTTTGATGTCTTTGTATCGCATTGCAGTTGCAACCCGATAAGGTCAGGTGGGAGATGATTGTTTCTAGTGGCAAGCTTCTCGTGTCGGTAAACCTACACCCACATTTCTAAGAGCTGCCTTTGGGTTGCTCCAAGAAACCGTTTAAATCTTGCTCCGATTGTGAATTTTCAGGCACTTTGAGACAGTAGAGGCCCGCTTCCTTGGAGCTTGTTTCAGTGCGGGGTGTGTCGTGAAATAAATCTTGTCTTTATTGTGCTAAGCTCTGGTGTTCTAGATTCCACTGTTTGCTTGATCAACCATTGCGCTTTACGCTTTTGGTAGGCCGACTTCTAGTAGGCACTACTAGTAGGTCGAGCCAGCAAACAGTAGTATAAGTAGAAAGAGACAGCCAAGCTAATTAATTAATATACTGTCATATTGCAGTCTATTGATGAATCGATGGATGGATGACACGAATCAGGCAAGGTCTGAGACGAGAGAGACTCACTGCAACATACAGCATGAATGACCAGTACACATGCATGCGTCACAACATGCACAAGTAGTAGGTCGTGTCTTATTATTATTGTCACCGCACCAACCTGCGGACTACTACTGATTAAGAGAGATCGAGGCACACACCTGAAGGTAATAATTTAACTAACACCACGCAGTACAATCCAGTAATAATAAATTAACAAAGTAAGTAATCCACACGCAAGCGCACCCTGCAGTACGATGATACTACTACTCAGTAATTAACTAATTAACCAAACCCATCAGTTCTCCATCTCCATGCATGCCGTGTGGCGTGTCATGCATGCTCGTGTCGTGTCGTCGTCGATGTTTGTGGGGTGGGTGGGGTGGAAGCCTGTCTCACACGGCGGGGGCGGGGACGATCTCGATGACCTCCGGCTGGTCGGCCTCGGCGGCGTCCTTGACGTCGATGACGGTCTGCTGCTCTGCCGCCATGACCTCGATCTTGTGCACGCCGAGGATCGGGACGGGGCCCACGGACAGGATGGCGACGGAGTGCGCGGGCAGCTCGATCACCTGCACCTGCGGCTGCTCCGCGGCGCCGCCATTGCCGTTGCCGGCGTCGGCGGTGGTAGTGGGCAGCACGGCGTTGCTGGGCTTGCGGTACCAGCAGTAGAGCCCGATCTGGACGCAGCTGAAGAAGAAGCCGCCCACGTTCGGGTACTGCATGCATGCGCGCATGGCGGAGTCAGAGATCCACCCACTCAATGTATCAGTGGCAGTGGCAGCAATGCCAAGTTAAGGGAACAAGTAGCTAGGTGGCATACCATGACGAATGGGTCCTTGGTGAAGAGGCCGTAGCAGAACCACGCGACGGCGCTGAGGACGAGGCAGAAGGAGAGGCCGACGGGCAGGAACTCCACGCTCTTGGTCTTGATCACCTTGACCTGCATGCCATATTGCCATGTCAACTGCCATGCATGGCCGGCCAAAACGATCGAAGCAGAGCAGAAGAGAGAGGCGGCTTACGATGATGGAGAGCGGCGCGACGAAGACGGCCATGGAGAAGGCGAGGCAGACGCTGCCGAGGAACTTGACGCGGTGGGCCGGCGCGAAGGCGTACATGGTGACGACGAGGACGAGGCCGAAGGCGGCGACGTCGAGGACGAAGAAGTAGGCGAGCGTCCTGAGCCTGGCGCGGGGCGGCGCGTAGACGAGGTAGGCGATGATGTAGACGGTCTCGATGCAGCAGCCGAAGCTGTTGATGGTGAGCAGGAGGGGGGACTTCGTCTTGAGCAGCGCGTAGAAGATGAGCAGCGAGCAGCTGAAGAGCGCCACCACGTACGGCACCGAGCTGAACCCGCCCGTCGTCTTCTTCCTGTAGATCTGCAGGAACGTCGCCCTGCACCCATACCGTATCGTCAGCTCAACACCACCACATGCATGCATCAATGGCGTGCGTACGTCAAAGATTACTTGAACAACATGCATGATAGGAAGGAATTAGCAGCTGGTTAGATACTTACATTGGCGCGAGGAACACGAAGAAGGAGACGATGTTTCCTGCACGAGATCAAGGAAGAGGAAAATCGACGCCGTTAGTTTTGTCAGTGGCATCCTTTAGTTAGTTCTTTTGGCACCTATGATTAGTAGTGGAATGTTACTATTTATTCATTTTTAATTTATTTAGTGCTCGGGTGCAACCAACGGCAAGGAAGTTGCAGGGGAGAGCACGCACGCGTCCGTCGCCGCTCAACCAATCGCCATTCCAAGAAAAGAAAGGGAATTTGGCAGAGAGATCCACAGAGAGTGCACGGTGAGCTGTTGGTGACAAATGCATTAACTACGAAATGCACGCACAATTGATGGGGTCTTAGCCTTTTAGGTGTGATCGATCGATCTGTGCCTAAATGTGTTTGTGTCGTCTGTCAGCAACCGGTCAAGGATGTGTTCTTGCTAGAATTGGGAGGTGGTTGGGTTTTGGAGATGCGCTTCCCTACCCTATGCCTATGCATGCATGAGCCAACCTAGACGATCGATCTTGCGACAAATGCACATCAGACTGCTCAACAAGAAGGAAGAGAGGAAGCACCAAAGGTGTGCTGTGCCAAATGACATACAAACACAGAATGAAACTGCATTTTCTCCATGAATTGCGTACCTGCGATGCCGGCGAGGGCGCTCGCCGGGTGAGACATGTCGAAGAGGCCCCCAGCCATTGCGACGGCGACTCGGCTACTGCTGGCTAGCGAAGGTATCAGCTGAGGGAGAGGAAAGGAGGGAGGGAGGGAGGGAGGGAGAAGATCTCAGCCAAGAACTAGTCCCGAAGCCAAGAGTCCCCTCTCCTACTCCCTTTCCGGGTGACACAAGGATCAGTGCGAGCTCTCGAGGAGATGCGCCTGCTGCTTGTGTGCTTTGGCCTCGGCGACGGCCGCTGGCTTATATAGACGCGGGCGCTGGTGCTGTACAGTGAGCAGCCACTCCTGGCCGCATGATCAGCCTGCCCGGCCTTGTGAACGCACCAGCTACCACTCTGCCTCCGTCTCCCTCCCCCCTCTGCGAAACATTTTTGCTGCATTTGGAACGTAGGCGAAATGAGTTTTGAAAACGAACGCAAAATGATCGGCTGGGCCAAGGAAAATGAAAGAAACACCATCTCAAGATTTGAACCCAGGTCTCTGTACCTAAGTGCTCCCTCTGTAAACAAATATAAGAACATTTAGATCACTAAAATAGTGATCTAAACACTCTTATGTTTCTTTACGGAGGGAGTAGTACTTACAACAATAACCAACTCACGCCATCTCATTCTTTGTCTAGTATACAAAGGAAAATCAATTTCTCCAAACCTTGTATACTGCTGTATTAATATAGAGAGAGATAGGAGTATTTCTTTCTTGGTTTTTTCATGAGTTTCTCTGGTGCATCATCAGCGTTGCAGTTGATGTGACACGGGCAGGCCGGTTGTGTCTTCACGCTCCGCTGGTTGCGAGGGACGATGTTGGTTGCGGTGTTAGTGATACCTCTACAGGAGATGTAGTTGGGTGATGCTGAGATTTACTTACACATTTGGTAACTATACTTGATAGCTATTTCAATAACTGCTCTGTCTCCGTCTCCCTCTCCCCTCTGTGAACGTTTGCTGCATTTGGAACGTAGGCAAAATGGGTTTTGAAAACGTGTGTCTGGTCTTGGAAAGTTTGTGTGATCAGGAGGGAAAGATTCATTTGATAATGGAGTAATGATGTAGCTATGTGTGTGAGGCATCTCGCGGTGCTCCATGTTGGACAGACTCCTAGATTGTCACATAAGCAAAATTACAATGTAACACATCCTAACTATATTTTTATTAACTAAATTGCTCATTATGTTTCATAAAACAGGCATACATTTTAGTGTGTTTATTCACTCATTTCAGTCTGTATATAGTCCATATTGAAATATCCGAAACATCTTACATTTGTGAACGGAGGGAGTAGTAAACAATATATATGCCTATGTATACATATATAAAAGGGCCTTCTCGTATGTGCTGCATTAATTGTTTCGACTCCCAATATTTGTTGTTCCTCTGATATTGTTAATTAGTCATTATAAAAGTTTCCAAGCCATTCACTACACAACTTAACTAACAAGTTGCCTAGCTAAACCATGAATATGCTCTAAGAGGCAATCATGATCTATACATAGGCGAAAACAGTGCCTGGGAGACAGGGGTCTGTCAGTTTGTTGCCGCGTCATTGATTTCTTGGTAGCCCTGAATTAATTGAATTAACCACCATTCCATAAGTTAGGAATTGCTATAGAAGGGAGTGAATTCTGAAATCTAATTAACAACCAACCAACACGTAAGAATTAGCCAGCATTAATTAATCTGCAGGATTTTGGTCCTCTTGGCTCACCAAGCTGGTGTATGAGGCTACGCAAAAAGCGGAACATTTCGAACAGAAAAGATGATGTCGGCTTCCAGTGATGAAAGTGTAGTCATTCCTGTCAGCTTTCCCTCACAATGTTCATGAGGTGTGTTTCCCAACAGTGTCACACCGACTGGAATTCGTCCCATATATTCAAACAAATTATATACTTTGACATAAAATTTGTTTAAGTGTACAACTCAAATTTGCTTAAGTGTACAGCTCACAATGTTCAAGAAAGTACTCAAGCAAATTAAATATATTCTCCTTTTCTTCCCCAGCTCCCACTAAGATATTTTGGTTCGAAAAAGGTAGAACTAGAAGATACAGAGAAAGTGAAAAGAATGATCACCCATACATAAGCCCTCAGTATGAACAGTTTAGCTGACAGGAGCAGAAGAGATATATGTTGACTACATCACCATTGGCGAGCTCAAACATGATACACTGAAAAGTGACTTGATCAAGAATAGTAGCGCAAATATTGTCCTCCACCAAGTGATCAGCTAGCTATGAAAAGAGTTCTGGGAAACCATGTGAATCCATACTATCAGTTAGCCGGGATTGCTTGCAATCAATTGGGGATACCATTTCTGAAGATATTTTTGTCACCAGTACTGTATATGGGGCAAATTTGACTTGCAGGAATACATGGAGTAGTATCAGTTTGAAGGATGCACTTGCAATTATTATAGATGATTGTATGCTAATTAATGTGTCTAGCCAAAGAGATATGCATGTTTAATCTCAAGAAGATGATAGATATGAGCACTACTACTACTTATGACATAGTATGACTGAAGTGTTTTTACTTTATGTAGTGGAAAAGGCTTAACGATATACATGAAAAGTCCATTTCAAGGTTGTGGACGGTTCAAAACCCAAAGTTCATTGTTAGTGTTACTGAATTTATTTGATGTTACTATACAGGCTTATTTTCACCAAAAGAAACAAAAAGGTGACTTGCAGTGCCTCCCTTTTTTCTTCCCAAGAGACTTGGAATGCAGAGTTTTTGCCGCTTTTCAGGTTCACATCAGCTAGCTTCAAAAGTGCATCACATTATTATTGTACTGGCTTGGAATATTTTGCATTTGTACTACATACTTTCTGGATCCATCTTTCCTATCAGATACGATCCCTGAATTTTTGGGCAGCTAGCTCTTGAGGCAGCAAACACTGTCATCATGCAACATGAGGAGTTGAGGACCATGTAAATGACGAGAAAACTAGGGGGAAATTTCGAGCACGCTCCAGGTTTACATGACATGAATGCTAAATTTTTCTTAGTGGCATATTTAGCAACACTTGTTCAACTAGACCACCTTCTGTCCACAGGAATGCATGCTACTAGCTAGTCTACTGCTATTTATGTTTCACAGAACCAGCTAGGCCGAAGAGAAAGATCTGCTCAGAGGTGCCGTATAAGTAGACACATAGCTGGCCTCCAATATTTACCTGTTCCAAAAACTTGGTCTATAAATTTACTTGATTTTATCACTAAATCTCCATCAATGGACGCAACTTCACAACGACACCTCTTCTTCAAGCAAATTTGGTAGCTTGTAGTTGTAAACCACAACCAACAGAAATTTGAGCATACATTGTTGGGTTAGAATTGATCTGGCCGATGATGAGAAGTACCTTGCTGGTCTCAGTTTCTTGTTTCTTGCCCATGGCAGCATTCCAACATCCAATTACAGAAAAAAAGATGCTGAGATGTGGTGTATGCTTGTGCTCCCATGTCTCATCAGGTTGTTGCATCACCCAGCATCAAATTTAGTCAAGATGTGGGCAGTTAGTTCTTATCATGCCAATATTACCTAGCAGTTGCTTCAGAAGGCATTCATATATAAATTCATGCTAAGAGATAGCCAGTAGGTGGCAAGCTCTGTTATCTTATCCTGTCCAAATATTGCAACTAGGTGTGGAAATTCTAGACAGCACCTACTTTCACCTCAGTGCAAATGTTCTGTAAACAAAGCTAACTGATCTCACCCTAGATAAAGGAAGAAAAAAGGCAACTGATCTTGTGGTTCGGCTTAATTTAGCCTTGGGCTTATAAGCCCGAAAAAGGCCCCTATTAATGTGTTTTTGGCTTTTGACCAGAGCCAAAAGCACATGAACAGGTATTTCTTGGCTTATAAGCCAGACTCCAAAACCCAAAGGTAAGCCTAATCAGACACCCCCTTGGGCTGCTGGGAAGCTCCTATGCTTGATTTGTGTTCATCAAAGCTACCAAAGGTAAGTGTGCCTCTCTGAAACTTCATCTCCGTACTCAAGATAGTTACATGTTGTCGTCCTAAAAAAAGTAAATTGATTAACTATTACTAATGTGATACCGAAGTGCATGAATATCACCTACGTTTTCCAGATGGAGGTGTCAATATTCTCTCCGCTGCTGTCCTTTCCGACTACATCTGCCCCCATGCATCATGAACTGGGAGACTGAACTGAAGGTGTGCAGTTCCTAGAGTTGCATAGTGGGGTACTGCATTTCACCAATGGCCGTCCGCTTAGCTTTGCTCCGACCAGAGCCGGCCCGCCGCTACCGCAGACTTCTCGTTCAATAAGGGCAAATCTGATCCTGTGCATAATCACCATGTCTCCCATGCCATTTCCCCAAGTGTCTACGTTTTCCGGCAACACGCATCTAAACGCGCGTGGTTTTGTGGTGGCATGAACAACTCTAGGTGGCTGGAACCCAGCTCTGTGCACCCAGCATTCTCTGCTAAGAATCTTTTGACATTTTCTTTCCATGCGCGTGCACTTGTTGGAAATAGTTGATGTATGCTATATTTTGTTCTGTGTTACTGAATCAGCTAGTTAACCACAAAGTTGCATGTCACATTTCAAATGAAGAAGCTCCATCAAAGTACTACATGTTTCGCACACATTAAATACTAGCTAGTGGAGAAGCTCAATGGTGCTAAATCCTTTCTTACAAGGAACCAAGGACAGATTGATTCTTCGATGCATGCCGGACATCTATATATGTAACTGGCTAGCTATAGTTCCGGTATGAATTAGCAACTAATTGAGCTATATATAAGTGCATGATGGACAGGCACAGGTGTCAATCAAGCTGGGATCGATATATATGGTTAAGAAGAGACGGCAGCCGTTTTGGCTGCAAGTCTGGGGTGACCGTAACAAACTTTACCGCTTTTCTCCTTGGAGGTGGAGGTGACGGGTAAATGTGGCGAAAGCTCCTTGTTGTTTTCCTGGATGGATGGAAAGGACCAGAACCGGACTAAATTAACTTCTACTATACTTTTTTTTCGAAGTCCAAATTTCTACTATACTCA